CCGAGGCCAGAGCGAGAGGCCCCCGGGCGGCAAGCGAGGCCCCTGCCCACCGCTGGAGGGTCGCAAAGCTACGGGTGTGCCAGGAGTGAGCCTGGCAGCCGAGGTAAGGGGCGGCTGCCCGGCCGGAGACCTGCCTTGGGTTGGGAGAGGGGGTGGCGCACCCCGAGAGTCGTGGAGGCGGACTCTAGGTGGGAGTGGGGAGCGCAGATTCAGAGTGACTGATAGGGTTTGGGGATCGGAGACTAAATTCGAAATCTTGGACTGGAGGCGAAGTTGGTGGGGCAGATCTTCAAGTGGAGGGAGTTTGAAGCTGGGACCTGCGGTATTTGGAGAAGCAAGAGAACCAGAGAAGGAACTTTTGGGGCAGGGAATCTGGAGATTGGGACAGTTCCGGCTCCCTGACGGGTTGAATCCGAGGGTCTGGTGTTCTGGAGAAGGTGGGAAGGGTTGGGGCTGGGATCCCCGGCACGTGGAGAAGCGAGAGAACCAGGGGCAAGCCGTCTTGGCTTCCCAGACGCAGTGGCGGAGAGAGGGTGCTGGTGAGAGTCCTATGGTCAGGTCTTGGAGCCGGGGGGCGAGGGGGGCCTGGAGGTGAAGTGGAGAGTTTGCTTGAAAGACAGGAGAATAGGCGAAAGGTCTCAAAATTGAGAGACCTAGTGTCCCAAACGGAGTGGATGGGAGAGCATTTGTAGTCTTTGAACGATGTGTTGGCGCCTGGGTCCCTGGACACGAGAGCAGTTGAGGGAAGACTCCAGGGCCTTCTGGGGCCCGAAAGATCGGGAGAAAGCGATGTTAGAGCTGCAGCCTGGGTGGGGGAGGGGTGTTCCGGGCGCGGAGCTCTGACCTGCAGCCCTGGAGGCAGCGGAGGGCGGGGCCCTGCAGGCGCCGGGCAGCTGAACGTCCGGGTTCCCCTCCCCCACCCGCTCCGGGCTCAGTGCGCATGCCCTGGGGAGGGTGGGGGCGGTTCTTCCTGTGGCGTGCGGAGCTCCCTGGGGATGGCAGTGCACGCTCGAGTCTACGTGTGTACCTGGCGGCTATTGGCCCACATTTCCCAGAAGCCCTAGGACCACGTTGGGGCGTGGCTGGCTGCTGAAGGGCGCTCCGTGAAGGGGGCGGGGCCTGCACAGGACCGAGGTCTGGTTGGGTAGGTCGGGAGGGGTGGGGCTTGGCGTGAATCGAGTTCTAGCAAGTTTTTCTACGGGGCCTCACGGAGGGGGAAGCAGAAGGCGGGGGCGGAGGGAAGGAGGAAGGCGCCGTCTCTCCCGTTGGGAGCGCTCAGTCAGTTAGGAGAACATCGTGGACAGAAAGACTCTGAAAGAAGAGTCTTGACAAATAGGTGAGGTGCCCAAACAGGACTCCCGGTGGCTTGAATATAGTAGCACTCAATAAGTAAAATTATTGAATTAATAAATGACAACTCTTGTTCAGTGAGCGTTTCCTGTGTGGTGAGCCCCGTGCATGTCACACGTGGGGTCTCCTTGACGATGTGGTGAGAATTTTTACAATCCCCATTTCATAGGTGAGGAGACTGATGCCCAGAGAGGTCATATCACATCACTTCCCAAAACCACACAGGTGAGCGGTGTGAAAGGCAGAATTCAAGCCGAGGATTCCCTGCCTCCAGCCTAGGTCTCTGTGTTCCACGCCTGTCTTGTATGTGTCACATTTGGAGAAATGAGTGTTGTAGAAGCCCTGACCGGGTAGCTCAGTGGGCTAGAGCGTCACCTCCATACACCAAGGTTGAATTGAAGGTTTGAACGCTTAAATAAGTGGAACAACAAACCAATGTTTCTCTCTCCCTCTGCCCCTTCCTCTCTAAAATCAATCAGTAATTTTTTTTTTAAATGAGTACTGTGGAAAGAATAGCTTTAAGGCTCAAAGGAACCTGAGTTGAGATACTGATCTTGCAAATGAGGAAACTGTGTTTTAAGAAGGAAAACTCACTATTCTGGGCGACCCAGGCAAGTAAGTGGGATTCAAACCCAGCTATGCCCAGGTCTTATTTTTCTTAGTTACGTAAGAAATGGGATTGCTACCATCTCCATTTATTTTGTAGATGCAAAAACTGAAGTTCAGATCATTAAAAATCAACAACAACCATGCAGGAGATTCAGGATTTGAACTACTAGCCCTACTGTCTCTGACTGGCCCCTCCCTCCCCACAGGGCACCATGGTAGGAGGCTTGAAGAGGAAACACTCCGACTTGGAGGAAGAAGAGGAGGAGAAGTGGGACTGGGGTCCAGCAGGCCTTCGAAGCTACCAGCAAGCCCTGCTCCGAATTTCCCTGGACAAAGTTCAGCGAAGCCTCGGCCCCCGAGCACCGAGCCTCCGAAGGCATGTCCTCATCCATAACACCCTCCAGCAGCTTCAGGCCGCGCTTTGTCTGGCTCCAGCACCTGCCTTGCCCCCTGAGCCCCTTTTCCTGGGTGAGGAGGACTTCTCCTTGTCAACCACCATTGGCTCTATTCTCAGGGAGCTAGAGACTTCCATGGACGAGACCGAGACCCCTCAGAATCCAGTGGCTCCCCCTGGTCCCCAGAATGAAGAGCTGCCCCAGCCTGATCCAGTCTTCTTAGAAGCTCTGAGCTCTCGGTACCTGGGGGACTCAGGTCTGGATGACTTTTTTCTGGACATTGACACATCCACTGTGGAGAAGGAGCCTGCACTGGCCCCACCGGAGCCTCCTCACAACTTCTTCTGTACCCCAGGGTCCTGGGAGTGGAATGAACTAGATCACATCATGGAAATCATTCTGGGATCCTAAAACTTGGATGATTGAAGGGTGCTCCCTCCACATCTCAGCCTCAGTGGGCTGGATCCCTGAGTGTGTGTGTGTGTGTGTTGGTGGAGGCTGTGGCTGGCCTCCTATCCTCCCATATCAGGGTTCCATAAACTGTATTGCGCGCGTGCGTGCGTGTGTGTCTGGTTACCGAAGCCTTCTGTGAAGGTGGGTCTTCCTGAATTAATTTATCTGTTCCAAATGCCTTAACAAGACTCTGTTTCTAGGAGTCTGATTTCCCGCTGCCACATTTCTTCTGCCTTCTCCTCCAGCTCTTACTCCTTTTGTGACCCCTGGGCCTCAGGGAAGATAAGCTGGGCCTGTCAAAGAGTGACTGAGACGCTGCCTCTTGTACCTGGAAGGAAGCCAAAAATAAAAAAAAGCAGAAAGAGAAAAATGCGGAGAAAGTACAAAACCTCATCCCCCAAGGCCGAACCCCACCTCCTTGGCAGGACCCAGTCCCAGCAGCCTCCTGATGTCAACCAGGCCGGACCACGTGCAATAGGTGGAAACCAAACTGCTCCGTGCCGCGTTATTTAGAAGAAAGGCAGGTTTTGTGGTGGTTTGGGGGTGGGGTAGGGGGTAGGTTTTAATTGTAATTATTATTATTTTTTTAATAAAAGTATTTTGGAAGGGATGGTATTGCCTAAAGTTTGTAAATAGTGGATCAAAGGGAGGTACCTGGTAAGTTCCTAGACACCTGTACCCCTTCCCTGTCCAAGTTGGGGCAGGTATACCATTAAATGTAACATTTATTGAGTGCTTGTTAGAGCACTGTTCTACCCACTTTATTTGAATTGAGTCATTAAATCTTCACCGTTATATAGAAGTAGATACTATAATCACGTTGACTATAAGAGGAACCTCAGGTTCAGAGAGGCCACGTCACTTGTTCAGGGTCACACAGCTAGTAAGAGCAGGGAGCTAGGACTCAAACTCCATACACCTCCAGGGCCTGGTTCTTCACTAGCTCCTTGGTAGATTTAGACTCCCCTGCCACATGGGTAGACACAAGAGGGAGAAACTGAGTCACATGAATTATATGTCAAAAGATAAGGCTTATCCTGGCCAGCTTGCTCCGTGGTTAGAGCATCAGCCTGCACAATGGAGGGTTGTGGGTTTGATCCCAGTCAAGGGCACGTACCTGGGTTGCAGGTCTGAACCCTGCCCCCCATGTCACATATATGTTTTCCCCTCTCCCCCTTTCCCCTCCCTTCCACTCTAAAATCAATGGAAAAAATATCCTCCAGTGAGGATTAACCCCAAAAAAAGGGATTCTTGTATTTACTGTGCTTTAGGACTCAAACATTGAGAGAAAGGATTAGGTCATACTGACCCATTATTTGTTTAGAAAAATTATAGTAAGAAAATATCCTAAACTACTATAAATAAGAGAAAATAAATACCTCCATATTTTTTACATACATATATAATATATATAAAAGGTAAGACTTTCTGGCACTTAAATGTCAACCCTTTCATTGTCTGAAATGTGCTGCTGAGGCCCAGAGGAGAAAAAATACTATTTAGCCCAGGCTAAAGTTACGGTTCTAAGGACTTACTTGGGAGATACAAGCCCAGGCTGGTGAGAGTGGGGAAAAAGACCAGGGAAGATACAAGGTGATAACATTGCTACAGCACTGGCTATGCCTCCACAAAGCCTTGACGTGCAGCAAGTGAGTTTACACAGCTTTAGGGACTTTTCTGGAAGGGTTGCAAGGAGGAACCACACTGGTGTAGTCCACAGGCAAGGAAAAGGGGAATTTTGCCTGTGCTTTCTGGCTTAAAAGCCAGATTCTCACCCTGAGAGGGGCATTGCAGCTAACCTGAAAGCAGTGGGGTAACTAATAGGTGGGTGCCGGGTCTTTAACCTTTCAGTGACCTCTCACACAGAATAAAACCCCAACTTCATGAAAGCCTGTGAGACCTGACAGTCTTGCTCCTAACTTGCCCACTTTCCCTTTCCTCCCTCCCTCACCTCCAGCCATTTTGGTCTCTTTTTCATCCCAAACTCATTTTGACCCTGGGGCCTCTGCATTGCTGTTAACTCCCCAGAGGATGTTTCTCAGAGAGGCCTTCCCTGAGTTAATGTCCAGATGCACCAACACCCATCATATTCTGTTTGACTTTCATAGTAGCACCCTCCCAACCCCCAGTTACTCATTACCTGTTTGTGGTTAGCCTCCTGGCCCACTGGAAACTCAGAGAAAGGGGTTTTGTGGGTCTTAGTCCAGCTGTCTCCCTGGTGCATAGAACTATGCTTGGCATAGGTGGGGCCTCTAAAAAATTATTTTTGCTATTGTTGAAAAAAATAAACTCCTGACTCTGCTAGGGCCAACGCTCCCTCCCGCTTCTCAGACCTCATCTCCTCAGCGCTCCCTCCTCTGCTCCAGCCGCATCATTCCCTGCCACCCTGCACACATACCAGCGTGTCCAAAACTCGCGACCTGCAGGAATACTTGCCTCATTGAGCCATCCTGCAAAGTGTGTAAAAGGGGGTCTATGCACACTAGGATTCCAGCTTCAAAATGCCTCCGATTTATTGAGTGGCTACCGTGGGCCTGGCCCTGCTCCTGGCGCATGAGTAAAACGGGCAGTTCCTGCTTTCATAAAGCATTGTAGTGGGGGGAGGCTGAAATAACCGCACAGTGTAACACGTACGGTCTGTCAGGCGGTGATAAATGTGTAGAGAAGCAGCATGAATGTGATGGCGGCGTCACTATGTGGATGGATGACTAGAGAAGGCATCCGTGAAAAGGTGTGATTTGAGTAAAGACCTGAGGGAGGTGAGAAGTGAGCCAAGTGAAGGAAGGCCCCGAGGTCAGAGCGTGATGGAGAGTTTTGGGACCCTGAGGAGGTCAGTGTGGCTGGAGCAGAGCGAGCAAGGGGGAGAGTACTAGGAGTTGAGGGGGACTAATCGCGGGCAGGGTCTGTGGGAGGCCCACAGGATGGACGTGAGCTTTATCCTGAGTGAGATGGAAGCCATGGATGGGACAGTGTTGAACAGAGAGACAACCAGATCTGACTCACTTTTAAACAGAGTCTCTTTAAATGTCATAACGATAATCACAGTAAGATCAATAGCACCCCACTTTACAGATAAATAAACTGAGGCTCGGGGAGGACCAGCTCCTGCCCTGTTCAAAGAACTGGAGAGAGAAGGAGAAGGCTGGCCCAGCGGAGAGAGAACCGGGTCCCTGAGGGCAGAGTCCACGTTCTCTAACCCTCCCCCGCCATCTCTTGGCGGGGGATGGGCCGCGGCCACCTCGGGCGTGGCCAGGGAGGCCAGGTCCTACCCACTGCTCACCC